CGAGTGAATGGAAATGAAACTGCAACATCTCTGCTTTGATTTTCTAGAGGAATCGAGACTGGTGGTAATTTTTTGGCGGAATTATTCGCTTCGGGCGATGCACACTTCTAAAATAGGTTTCCGGCCTTGTCTTTCTTTTAGCAGTTGAACACCAACATAGCGCTAACTCGCTGAAAACACTTCAAAATGGCCTGAGACGCTTGGAATCAACAAAGAAAACAACAAAGCAATAAGGTACGCCCATTTTCTTTCAAAACAAGACATTTTTTTCTCTCTTTTAAGGCAAACCGATAACATCCCATACAAACCTTTATAAATATAAAATGTTGCACAACACGGTAAGAGTCACGTCCGCTTTACTAGTAGTGAGCTTGGGCTGCCTGTGACTATGCTATGGCTAGACACAGGTAAACCGTAGAGGTTCCAAGATGAAAATAATTTAAATGTTGCTGTATTGTGCGGGTTACGGCAGTTGAGTTCCTGTGTTCATTTATCTTCTGCAAGAACAAACGTAGGGCGGATGGAACTTAGACGGTATGATGCAAACCCTCCTACTACCAAAAGTCATTTAGACGTCCACCTTCGGTAGCTTATTCCTTCAAAGAAATCCAAAGCAAAAACCGAGCACTTAAATTCGTGGCTGCGCTCGTTCCCAGATTGAAGTTTTTCGTAATTGCATTGCAAAGCAGTTTAAAAAACGAATAATATACCTTTATTAGCGAACCGAAAACAATACCGACTTTTAAGCCATCACTTCTCAGTTCGGATCATTTTAAAATGTTTAATAAATTAAAGATGGCGCTGACTTGTCACAATGAAATTTCACGCAGCAAGGCGGTTTGAGAAAGGCAATCCTACGAGCAAAGCTTCAATCCCAGAAGACATTGAAAAAGATATTTCCGTCGCTAAATTGACTTTAAATTATTCTGAAGTTTCGTTTGGTGTTTAGTAAGCCCCGGCTTCTCAGTTCTTCTTGACTCACTGCCGCCAGTCACCTACATTTTATCGTTTTCCGCTCGGAATGTAAAGAGATTGAAGGGCATATTCAACGGATCGAGTCCTCGGTGAATCTGGTTTCAAGCATAACAACACCACAAAACAGCTTAGTTTTTACTCAAAACATCAATTTGGGGATCTAACTTTTATCCTCATTAGGACAGCCCGATTGCAATGATTATGACATCAGAAACACACTAAATTGCGTTTCTTGCGATTTGAATATTTCGAGAGCTGAGCAAATAATATTGAAATGCGCTGTGAACTAGATTATTTTGTCTCTCTCTCTTTAACCTACCGTAAATCGAGGTCTGTTTCACCTTTCTTGCACTCTTGACAGATATTTTCTCGAACAGAATGTTCACAGGAGACGATATTTAGCCCGAGAGTAATTTGTGACCCTCAAAGCAGACAACGCAGCCTTCCCAACTAAAAAGGGCAAAACTTCGCGAGTTACAGAGCTGAGTAACCTATACGCATGCGCCAGATTTTACAGTGGCAACCATGCGACATGATTTGAGTTTCGATGAGTTTAGCCGCTGGTGCGCGCCCTCACAAACTCCCGCTCGAAATTCCCGTTTTTCTTCGAAAACTCACACGAAGTTGTGTGCAATGGCGGTGCAAACAAAATTGTTTTTCGTTTTACAAGTGTGTGCACTAATTTTTATCGTAAACGTGACAGAAAGTGTAAAAAGGTCGAAGCATGGGTGTATAATTTGCGGGAAAAAAAGTCTCAGAAAACTCCATTTCGCGGTGTACACAGGCAGTCAAACGCCGACTTGGAAGCTTGTTTTCGTTTCCTCGAGACAACATCGGGAGACATTTGTGAAGCCTGCAGAAAGGCTTTCCAACAGTACAGAAGCAATGGGAAGACATTTCATCGCGTTAGTGTTTTCTCGCGTTTAATTTCTCTTATCTCACGTACACTTGTGATGCTGAAATAAAGTCGAATTCCTTGACACAGGCAAGACTCTGGAAGCTATAGTTAATTACGAAACTTTCCTTGTTAGCAATGACAGCCCGAAATGCTCCTTTTTTTTCAACAAAAAGGTTTTGTATTCAAGCTTACGAACGCGACCGCATACATCTGTATTAAACACTTTCTACTAGCACAAACTATTTAATCTCATGTAAGCGTAAGAGTCACTGGCTTCTTTCGTTGAGGACTCAAGGTATTTACTTCACAAAAGCATTATGGTTGTTGCAGCTGTTGATACAAATAACTGGACGAAGGAAAATGTGGATTAATATACGAACGACGGAGTGCGGGGAAATGGTAGAAAATCAGACACTTGTTTTAAATCACTCGTTCGTACCTGAGCCTACTTGAATATGAACGTCCTACATTTTAGAAATGGCCTGTGACATTTCCAAATTGCTCCCTTGGAATCGTCCCTATGCTTTACACAGACCCACATTTTCGCCATAACAGAGTCTTCTACATCGAACAGACCAGCCCTTGCTAAGATAAGCTCTCCTTCCGTGACCCTCTCTCTTGACAAATGGATCGAGGAGAAATGACTCTCTCTTGAGTCAGTACACTGAGGCAAGTTGAATAAATCGGAAACTCCTCGTGAATCTCTGCACGAAGTCTCTGAGGAACGTGATAGAAAACAAGACATCTTGTTGCGAATACCGCTTCAACAACAACAATAATAATAATAATAATAATAACAATAATAATAAAGTATTTATATAGCGCGAGTTTCCTCAAAGTTCAAAAGCGTTTAACAAGTGACAATTGTAAAATTAGGAAAACGCTTGTTTAAAAAGAAAAGGTTTAAGTTTGTTTTGATTGTTATTGATTGCAATCGAGCCAGCAATTGAATTAAAGTTAATACAATAACGCGCCTTACAACATTAAATATGGCTAACTGTTGGAAAAATGAGGTGACACGCAACGAAATAATTTCTTTTCTCAAGAAATGCAGGATCTATTTCCACAAGACCTCTCCAAAGTTATCAATAATAATTGTCATGAAGACAGGTGTGACAAAAAAATTTCTCATATTCCTTTCGACTAGAATACTATGTTATCGCTGTTCTATGTAGGTGAGAGAAGTAATTCAAGATAATTACACAATTGAATTACGTGACTGTACCATATCACTTGTAACGGTGTATTTCAGTATGTGCTATTCTCGCAAGTTACGCTAAAATAAAATCCTGTACTTTGGCTCGGAAATATAGGTATGATTGGCTTAAGCTCTCTAAACACAAATGTAAGATGACACAAAACAATTAAAAAAAATAATAATAAAGATGGAAGAGCTTCTGAGTAAAACGTTGACCGGGCGCTAATCGGTATGGTATTCGATACGTTGTTATGCACCTCTTTGGTCACGAGACAGAATAATCTGCCAGAATTTAGCCGTTTAAAATGTAAGAGTATCAATTGGTGTATTCCTAAAGCTCTGTCCTACTTTCAACTTAAATGGTTAAAAAATCAAAAATTTAATTTATCAAGGTACTAATATAAAACAGCCAGAGTTTCCTTAACTCGGCTGTCACGCCAGCAAATCACCAAAAGTTTGAAGTCACTACAGCGAAGGAAGGATGTTTTTATATTTCCATGCCTTCGAACATCTTTCTTAGAGGAAATCAACCAGAGGTTTCGGTGGTCTAGTCTGGACTTGACAAATATCAATCAGGAAATACTCTTGACCAATTTCAGAAAACTGTCTCTTTTTTTTCAATAAATTATTCCAAACCTCTAAACGAACACGTATCAAAATTCAAATGCTTTTCAAATTCCTTAAATATCACACAGTTAAGTGATACAAACGATTTTTTGCTGCATGCAGTGTGTTACGAGGAGCGAGCTTGTCAACTTTTGAAACTTTCGATTTCACAAGAGGTCAAAAAAGGACTTTTTAGAGCTGTGATTATTAAGAGCTCTAAAAATTACATTTATATATTTATTATATATTCAAGTTATGGACTAGATCCTACTTTGAAATCTCTTCGGAACTTCTCATGATAAATCATAGTGATATCAGTGTAATACAACAGAGAAACATTAAGTGATCGTTTTATTTGAATACATTTTTGATTTGAAATAGTTTTTTTTTTAAATTTGTAAGGCATATTTCTTGATGAACTCTTTCATTTTTTTCCATTATCAACTGTACCTTATTTTCCATTTCAGCCTAGCCTGAAATCTCTCTCAAGGAAAGCTTTTCTGCATGTAGATTCCCGATCTGGCTTCAATCGACTGCAGGCGGCTGTATTTCATGATGACTCTGACACAGTTTGGAAAGCTCAATGCTACCTCGAGAATCATGTTCAACACATGATTTTTCAAAAAACAGGAAACCAAGCAAATGTATTTCCTGGAAAAACTGCCTTAGAAATTCTCTTTGCCCTCCAAGAAAAAGGAGAAGGAAATTTTGAAAAAGAAAAAAAGTACAAAGAGTACGTTGAAAAGATCGATACATTAAATGAGCTGCACTTATGCAGAGGAAGCGATGACGCAGAGAAAGCTGTCGAGATTTTTCTAAACGACGGGGTAGAGATAGATATCCCAGCAAAGAGCAACCGTACGCCTTTGATGTGGGCAAATACATCATCATCTGGCAAGTTTATCAAGACCCTTATTGATATTGGAGCTGACGTAAATGCTCAGAGACCAGATGATAATGTCACGCCTTTAATTGTGGTAGCGCATTTTAACAATTACGGGGCCACTAATATTCTCTTGAATCACGGAGCTCAAGTGAACATTGAAGATAATTTCGGAGAACAACCATTGCACGACGGTGCTAAAGAAGGATTTTTTAACGTCTCCAAACGACTAATCGATTCATGATGTGAGGTCAACGTGAGGACAAAAAAAGGATGAAACTCCGCTCTATTTGGCAGTCAAGAATAAAAAAGTGCATGTGGTCAAATTTCTTCTTGAAAGCATGCGCAAGGCTGATGTGACTATGAAATACTGCAAGGAGAATGCAGGTGAAAGAATTTACCTTGTTCGTGGGAAGGACAAAGCCGGAAATACAGCCTGGCATTGTGTCCTTGTGCATAAAGCTCTTTTGCTCCTGTTCTTGAGGCGTACTAAAGGTGGTAGTCTCGACGTTGCAGCCTTCGGAGAAGTCCTCAAGTCTGGATGGGGAAAGGACCCTCCCGAGAGCGTAATAGAGGAAATGATAGAGAAGGAAAAGACCTACCCTAACATGCAAAGCGTTACTGTTGCACAACTACTGTAATTAGCACCTAAACACTTGCACCTCGTTATTCATACCCACCAACTACAATACATGTAATTACCATATCTGCACCTGCACCCGTATATATCTGTGGACAACCTCATTAAAGTGCAGTTTTGAACACGATAAGTAACGGTCAACATGGTGGCAGCGGTGCTTGTCTCTTAATTTCACAGTCAAGAAGATTCAAGCCGATGAGCGATATGGCCTCAAACACTCCAAACACTCCGTTCCCGCAATTCAAAACAACTGGGGATGATAAACACGATGTGGAGGTCTACATCGAAGACTTAGTCGACTACTGTATTATGCAGGACTGGTTTGATCCGTCCAAGGAAACAGAAGCAGCGAAGTGGACGAAACCAGAGAAAGCGATGGCATGTCTTCGAGCATCGTTATCCCCTGCAGCCAGAGCGATCTACAAATACAGTTTAGGATTGTCTGAACAAGATCAGAGCAAACCGCACATGGTTATCAACGCTCTGAAAGAGTATTACGGCGCTAGCATCGGGGTCTCGGGCGAAAGGCAAAAATTCCTTTCCCTGCTACAAAATGAAGAGGAATCCATCGCGTCTTGGGAAACAAGGATTCGCAATCAAGCTGCACAGTGCGAGTACGAAAACTTCGCTGATGAATTGATGAGAGATCAGTTCATCGCGGGATTAACATCTGAATCTCTCCGCGTAAAACTGATTGGGAAAGGCCACAGGCATCGAGATGCAGCGCAATCAAAAGTCACTCTACCTCTTCAGCAACTTTATC